GTGTACTGGAGGGGAGGGTTTGGAGAGGAGAAAAGTGCAACAATGAATAAATGGAAACCCAAAGTCTCTGTAAATTTTCATTGAAATTAATAGTAAATTAGCAAAGAAAGAAACAAACAAAAAAAAAACAGGGTCTCTTCTGTACTAGTTCTAAGTCTGATTGCATCATCATCTTAGTAATAAGGGCTTGTTATCCATTCTCACCGTACTCCAATTTCATGTCTCTTTGCTTTCTTTTCAGGGTGGATTATGTGGATTCCTTAGGACGATCCCGGCGCTGTATGAGAAAGGACTTGCCAGATTTGTTGGAGATGGATAAAAATCTCCAGGGGAGGCTGTAAGTGTGGGATGAGCCAAGCTTTGCCTGGTTTTGAGATGCAGACAGAGGGATGGTTGTGTGGGAGATGCTGCTTCTAATGAGATATTTTTGTTGATCCAACGAAGAGATTGTTCATTAATGTACAAGAAATTTACTTAAGTAGCTTTTAGTGGCCAACAGACAAATACACACATAACCCACACTCGGGGCTCAGCCTGGACATTCATAGGGAATTGTTAATTTGTATGGTGCAGCTACAAAAAGGAATGAGCTAGAGGTGTTATTTATTTACTTGAAAAGATGTCCATAGTCTATAAAAAATAATTATAGAGTAATACCATTGAAATAGGTCTGTCTTGGAGAGGGTGAAACGAAGTTTCTCTTTGGAGGCTAGGTTTTTGAAGCTCCATCTCAAATACTTTGGACACTTGACCAGGAGGGATTGATCCTTGGAGAAGGACATCATGCTTAGAAGGGTGGGAGGGACAGCACAGGAGAGGAAGACCCTAGATGAGATGGATTGACATAATAACTGGGGCAATGGAGGTTGGTGTATTGGAATTAGTGAGAGTGGCTCAGGACAGAGCCTCTATAAGGTCACTGTGGGTCACAGGCAACTCAACAGCACATAACAAACAACAACAATAAATATATAATGAATGCAGATGAATAAGTGTATTTAAGAGTAGGCACACATGATTACTCCACAAACAAAAAAAGGGCAGAGGAAGGGGAAAAAAGAAACTAAAAAAAGAGCAAAGGCGTAGGTAATTTGTTACAAAACATTTCTTTTAGTTATTATTATTATTATTATTACTACTATTATTTTTATGTGTGTACCATCAAATTGGATTTGACTGGTACAGGAGGAGATTGTCTCTCCTTCATCAGAGCATCTGGTGGATTTGAACCATGCACCTCTGGGATTGCAGTACAAAATATTTTTTTCTTTATCAGTACATTCCTTAAGGTTTTATGAATGTTGTGGTTGTTGTATACTCTTGAGTCAGAACCTAACCATAGTTGACCCTCTAGAGGTTTTTTAGCGGCAGTAAGTCACGTGGGAAGAGATTGCCCGTATTTCTCCCTCAGAGCAGCTGGCAGATTTGAACCATATACCTTGAGTTGCCAGTGCAACTCCTTACCACTAAACCACCAGAGCTCCTTGGTCTTATCAATAGATTTTGTCTTTCTGTAGAGCCTAAAACAGAGCTAAGATAATTGCTAAGGTATTCCAGGAGATGGCATTCATTCCTCTTGACAAGGGTAACTTGAAAGTTAGGGGAGGTGCCACCTGGCCAGTCCTGCAGTAGGTTCCAGCACAGGCAGGAAGAGCAAAGAGGCCCTGAGCCTCTGGGGGATAGCCATCTGAGCAGAGACACCACTGAAACTGCACTCAGGGTGGCTCCCAAGTCCCTGGACCAGAGCCCACCCATATAATGCCTGGAGCTCCTCCCTGTCCAGACCACGTCCACCTATTCAGTGTAGGACTGCATGAGATGGAAGGTTATTATTTGTCATGAGCGCCAAGGCAAGATCCCATTAAGCTATGTAATGAATCCAGTCCTTAATCAAAAGCAGGTAAAAAGGATTTGATCCAATTTCTAATATTTGGGCCAGAATACTGCTGTAGGAAATCTTTATCGTACAGTATTATTTATTCATGATTCAACTCAATTTGGCTTTGATTTCTCATAGTTATTTTCTGAAGATGTTTTTGCTCTTTTTTCCTACTAGTTTCATTAGCCCTGCTAATGAAAAAACCTTGTTATCCGAAGATATGAGAAAAGAACTGCAGCGCCAGCAATGGGAAGAAGAAGAGAGGGAGGCTCTCAAAAGGCCGATGGGACCTTTACATTATGAAGACATTCGTGAAAATGGTATCATTCTCTCCCCTCCCAGTTTTTAACTGTTAAAAAAAATCTTAAATTAATAGCATTCTGAACTGGAAATTGTAAATATGCCTGTTGTTTACTCTTTACCTAACAAGTACTCATTCAGAAGATCTTTCTAACAATATTAATCTCATTTAATTCTCCAAGAGAAATAGAAATAGTACATGGCTGGGAATGAATGAATCATCTTGTTATACTCGTTAGTTAGCAGATAACATGAAACTGTTGTGTGCCCTCAAGTCAGAATTGACTCACAGCTGACCCCCTGGCAGGTGTCAGAGTCAGGGTATTGTTTGGGAGGTGACTGCACATCCCTCCTGCTGAGCTGCTGATGGATTCATACCACGTGCCTTGGGGACTCCAGTCAGCTTCTTACCACTAGGCCACCAGGTCTCCCAAGATGAAACTAGTTGTAACGTTTTTGTTACCCACCTTCTTTGAAAGCTTGTTTTTAAATTTGTGTTTAATACCATGATATTTCTGTTGGCTTTGGGAGGATATTTGGTTTGAGTGTAATTTACTGATCAGAAAATAATCTTTTGGGTCATTTTTACTTATTTCAGAGGCCCGGCAACTTGGTGTTGGATATTTTGCCTTTGCCCGAGATAAAGAACTGAGAAACAAGCAGATGAAAACTTTAGAGATGTTGAGGGAACAGGTAAAAATTACATTAAAAGTTGATTAATCTGTGAGCAGGTTCCTACTTGGATCTGACCATAAAAAATATTGGTAAACTAATTAGAAGTTAAAATTAAGAATGCAGTTTTATGGCATCATCAAGATATTTTCCAAATTATTTTTCTTGTTTCAAACTTTACAATTTTAACTGGTCAGTAGTACCCTGTGTGCTTGGTTGGGTGTGTGCTGCATATGTACATATATAATTCACATATACTTAGTATTTTGGAGAAAAGTTGTAATGGCAATGAGGGGTGACTGAATGTTTTTAGGGTTTGGTTTTTTAGATTCTGTGAGTTTCTGGAGGAATTTTTTGTGATTTGAGTGAAATTTTATAAAGTAAATTGATTTTATCATCCATCATTCCTATATATCTTTTGTTTATAACATTAATCTTATACCCACAATGTAGCCACATTCTTCCCATTTTTACCCTGAAAACTCATTTCCGTTAAACTTTCCTCTCTCTACCTTTCCACGTTATCCTTGGACAAATGCTGCTCTTCTGTCCTGCTGTGGTTGGTTATTCTAAGGAGTGAGTGCTTCCTGGTGTAATTATTCACCTTGTTCTCGTTTTTGTTGTTGTTGCTGTTAGGTGCTGTCTAGTTAGTTCCAACCTGTGTCCAAAAGAACAGAATCCTGCCTGGTCCAGTGCCATCCTCTCAATCTCTGCTGTGTTTAAGCCCAATGTTCCGGTTACCGTGTCAGTCTGTCATGTTGAAGATTTCCCTCTCCTTCACTGACCTTCCCCTTTTCCAGGCATAAATCCTTCATGGACTAGCTTTGCCTGATAACATGCCCAAAGTATGTGAGACAGAATCTCACCATCCTCCTCTGAAAGAGAATATTCAAGTTGTACTTCATCTAAGATACCTTTTTTTCTTTTGATAGTCCACAGTATTCTTCACCATTATCTGAGTTAGAGACACCAATTCTTTTGTCTTCTTATGCATTGTCCAGATTTCACATGCATACAGAGCAATTGAAAATACCATGGTGTGGATCAGGTGAACCTTAGCCTTTTAAGTGATATCTTTGCGCTTTAGCATTTTAAACAAGTCTTTGGTGGCAGGTTTATTCAATGCAATAATAGCATTTGATTTCTTGACTGCTGCTTCTGTTAAGTAACTGTTTCCCAGCTGCTTTCAGGATTCTTTCCTATTTGCAGTTGGTAGAGCTTCTTAAAGGCATATCTTTCCTTCTTTCATAATATTTTGACATGCTTTCTTCCAGAAAATTTTAAACTTTTCTTTGGTGGATTTTTTTTCTCTTCCTGTTCTGTAATTTCTATCATATGTAAGTCATTCTTCTTGATGATATCCCTCCTAATTATGTTTCTTCTTTCTTCCTTCTGATTATTCCTATAATATACTAATACTGAGAGATTTGTTTTCAGTCTCACTAATTCTGTGTTCCATTGATTCAGTTTTGCTTTTTTTTTGGTCCTAATGTTTTACCATCAGCAAAGATACTGTGGCCTCTTCCAAATCCATCTGGAACTTGTGGCTAGTTCTTGGAAAAGGACACATGCTTGGAAGCATGAAGGGTCAGCAAAAGAGATCGAATGGCACAGTGACTGCAGCAATGGGCTCGAGTGTATTAGGGCTGGTGAGGATGGCGCTGGATAGGGCAGGTTTAGGTCCGCGGTTCACAGGGTCTGGAGTTTTGCTGAAGGTGGAGTTGGTGGCACCTGACAGCAACAACAAATGTTTTTCAAATTTTAATCTTAATCTTCTCAATATCAATTTGCTCTTTTTGTGTGGCTTCTAATTTTCTATAGATTTTGTCAATATAATCTTGAAATATTCCAGTCTTTTGTCTGTGTTTTTCTTGAACTTTCTCTTCCAGTTCATTGAAAACTTCCTTACCAGGAAGTTCCAGTAGTATTTCTTCCTCTGAAAGATTTTTTTGGTTCTGTGTTTTGGTCATTTTTTGTACCATCTTGCCTTTTTTTTTTTTTTAAATGAGATTTGAAGTTAGCTGTTGCCTTCTGGACATGGTGGTAGTGCTGTCTTTGTCTTAAAATGTTTTGCTATATCTGAGCTGTTAGATATGCTTCATAGCTAACCAGTTTGGCAGTTCTGTCCTTTACCTCCTTTTTTCTGGTGGTTGTATTAGAGGATTGAGGTGGGTGTGCAGTTCTCTGTCCAGGTAGAGTGGTTGACAGCAGAAGCAATGTTTCCTTCTGTTGGAAAGTGACGCTCCTAGAGCTGTGTGTGTAACTAAATATTGTAGACTCTGTTACCAGATGGGACAAAACACACACACAACTAAAAAAGACCGTAAATAGAAAGTAAAGGGGAAAAAAACAACCAAAACTGGGAGGGGTACAAAAGAAGGAAAAAGAACAGACAGAAAAAAGGAGAAAGAAAAAATGAGGGGGCAAAAGAATGGAAGAGAAACAAAAAATGAGAGGAAAAGAGGAACTTGGCCAGGGTTGGGCATGGTAGTGGCATCTTGTGGTCCTCTTGCTGTTAGGTAGAGGGGAAATGTCTGGTCAGGGAGGAGTTTCTGCTGGCCAGCGGAAGGCTAGGACTGGATCCCGTCAGAGCAGGTTCTGCTCATCTGAAGTGGCTGAGGGCGTGGCGTCCAGCCAAGGAGAGAACCCCTCAGACCCTGTACACTGTTGAGGACCAGGGCACCCCACCATGGATGGAGTTTGTGCTGGCCTCAGAGGTGCCTAGGACAGTCCGCCTGGCCAGGAATGGTGTCCTCTCCTTTCTGGGATGAGTGAAGGCAAGGGACCTACTCATTGATGGCTTTACTGCTGTGTGGAGATAGAGGACATGTGCATCCCTGAATGTCAGGATGGTCTGTGCATGGTGCTTGATTGATAAGGCTGTCCCTTCAGAGACTGTTTCTGCCAGACCAGGGGCTGGTTGTGGTCAGACAGCAGTTCAGGTGGCACACTACCCCAGTCCTGGTAGAAAGAGTACATACACCTCCCTAAATGGTATGACATGCACATGACACTAAAACCCACAAGGTTGTTTTACCACGGGTAGTCCCTGTCAACACACAGATGACTAAGAAAGCCATATTCCATTGACCCCAAGAAGTAGAAAGTGCAGGGCTCCAAATGTGGCATGGCATATAACAGATGCCAGATTTACCGTGCACCCAGCTAGGCAGTTTCTGCCAGCCTGAGAGGTGATCAGAGTCAGGGATCACAGTGAGGGATGGTGTTTGTGCCAGTCTGGAAGCTGACTATAGGAGAGGCACCCTGCTGGCACCAGGAGGCAGACATCATGTGACTCTGGATGTGGGGCTGTGCACTTTCAGCACCATATGCACAGTGGTCTTAAGTCCACCTGCAGGCTGGCCTGGGTTGGTCCCCGGGGAGCACCGTCAGCCACCTGGTGGACAGTGGAAAGTCATTCCCTGGATCCCAGAGGCGGTCCACGGAAGGAGGGTGAGCTTACATCCCTCTTGTCTGCTAGCCACGGTGTGGCACCATTGCAGTCCTAGTTCCTGGGCTGGTCAGAAAGCGTCTTGTAAACATCAGAATGGCTATGCTGTATCTGACCTGTTCACATTTCACCACTCCATATGGCTCCGTATTTGATATTTTCATTCACTTTTTCCCATCAGTCAATAATTGAACTACTTCCTTTCCTGTGAAACTTAGAGTTCCATGATTATCATCCGAATCTGTGACTGTTTTCAGGTGTCTTGATTATAGAGGGTCTGGGTTGCTGTCTGCTTAGTCTGCCACTTTGCCTGAGAATCTCTAATTAGATGTCTTACAATTGGTTTAAAATGTTGCCCTTTTATGATGATAGCCTGCATGAATAACAGAACATTATTTAAGGAGATAAAACAGAGTTAAATTTTTCTTTTGATTATTAAGTCCTCCAAGACAGTACAAGATTTTCTTGCTCTTCATATTGAGGCTCTCAGAGAGAGTTTTGACATGGAATCAATTACTTAGTTGATTTTTTTTTAGTAAAAATAAGGGTTTTTTAAAATAGCTGTATTGTGAATTATGCCTCCAACATACAAACTAATTATCTGTTCTGTTCAGACAACGGATCAGAGAGCCAAACGAGAAAACATAAAAGAAAAGCGAAAGGCTATGTTAGAAGCCAGACTTTCCAAACTCCGACAAAAAAAGATGAAAAAATCTCCAGAAGATGGAGCAGAAAAAGAAAACGGAGGTATGCCATCATTCCTGTTTTTGTATTTCAAAAGAGATTTTTCGTTTCCTTGAAATCTAGGTGAGAGTTAGCAAAATGGGGATTAGCCTTTCCGTTTCATTCTCTGTTCAAGCAGCTACCATCAGCTGCTACTAGGGGCAATTTTTATAACCAAACTGCTGTGGAATGATACTCTGAAAATATATTTAGGCTATCAACCAGGAGAAGGTTGTGTTAAAATAGCATGACAGTTTAGTAACCAAGACTTAGAGAAAGAAAGCTTCAATTTTAATTGGGTATGTATTTTCTTTATAGACTTTCATTTTTTGTCTTTGGTCAATTACTATATATTCATTCTCTTTTTTTTTTTTTATTCACAAACTCAGATAATAAAAAACTAGGCTAGCGAAGCATACCAAAAGATAGGGCTATGAAAGTTGACAGTTTGGAATGTGGAATACATTTCCCCTTGAAAACACTGTGGTTAAAGTAGCTTACTGGATTAATGTTGCTAATATATGCTAAACTGCATAGCAAAAACCTTAAAAGTCACTGCTGTTAAGTTGGAACCAACTGATAGCTCAACTCGAAGCGAGTTTCCAGATCCTATAATTGGGTGGGAAGAGATTGTCCATCTTTTGCCCCAGAACCACTGGTGGATTCGAACCACTGGAGAGGTGCCACTTTGAATTAGCGTCACAACTTCCTGCAGACCATACCACGAGAGTCTTCAAAGAGTCCTCTCAGTAGTATGGCTCAAATGAGACAGATGTGTGTTTCTCTTTTAACAGTTTAGCGGTAAGTGGTGTCTAGTGCAGGTTAGAACTCCCAGTTCCTCTCTTATCTTGCTGTTTCTGTCATTCTCTAAAATGTTGCTCTTAACTGGCACAGTCCAAGCTTGCCCCTCAGTACCTGTTTGTGATTCAACCCAGAGGAAAGAGGAACTATGCCACCTGTCCGTTAGCATTCTCTTGACCAGAACTTGGTCACTCGGGCCACACTGAGTTGCAGGGGAGTCTGGGAAATTATTACTCTGGCAATATGAGCATATACCCAGCTGAAACTTGGGGGAGATTTCCTGTAAACAAAAGGAAAATTGGAGGTATGGGTGCTGTAGGACAAATGGAAACCCACGCAGTTCACACGAAAGCCTGTTCTAGGATTGGCCATTTCCTAATCTCTGAACAGAATGTTTTTGTTTTGAAAAGAGAACAGAAACATTTAGGAGCTATTTCATTTCACTTCACAGCATACTAAACTTTGCCTATTGTATCTCTGTTTTCGCTTCATCTTCTGAACATCTGTCATTCCTAGAATGTATGCTATATATACCACTGCAGTATTTATTGAATGATACATTTTTCTAAATGTGGCCTGACTGGAATGGCCCAGCTGAGCCTGTTTCCCAGCTTCGGTCCTTCCATTCAGCTCCCGCTTCCTTTGGCTGAGACTCTCATGCTGGTTAAACAGTTTGGGAACTTGTGGTCTTTTGCTTATTGGCTTGGAGCAGAGAGCATAGTGGAAAGCAAAGGCTCTGAAGTCCACCTAACCTGGTCTCAGTCCTTTCGCTTGTCACTTTCTACCTGCCTTTGTAGTGTTTCCACGCTTAAATTTCCCTCATCTATAAAATGAAAATACCAGTGCTAATATTATTAGGTTATCTGGAGAATGAAGTGAAATATTGCATATGAAGTCCTAGCTTCCTACCTGGGACGTGATAGCCACTCAGCAAACAGTAGTTAGTTTTATTCTTAGATTAAGTGATTTTGAACAGACAGCTCTAAACTTTATTGTAATAATGTGTAATAAACTTTTATTGTAATAATCTTACTCCCTTTTCCAGAAATAGAAGATGATGTTATTGGGCCTTTACCTCCGAAAGCAGAAGCCATGCCAATTCCTACACCTGCCCAGAGTAGCAAAGTTGAAGTCATTGTTCAAGAGAGGAAGGACACTAAGCCTGGAGTTCCTCATATCCGGGAGTGGGACAGGGGCAAAGGTACGAGGAAGCTTTGGGGTGTTCACGTTCCATCGGAAGGCTTGTGTACAAGACTTCTGATCAATATAATATCACTGTTGTCAGGGCGGCTAATTATCCCATGTGGCTCAGAGATGGTAACACTGGTTTCTTCTTCCTCTAGATGCTTACACTGGTTTTTTTCTTGATACCACAGCATCAGATGTTTGTAAACATGCAAGGCCAGGCCCTGCCCAAGGCCTCATATCAAAAGGTGGTTATTTTTAAGGGCACTTAGGGAACATGTTTTTAAATTTTGAGTGCCCTCATGCGCTTCTACAGCTTTGGAATACCATTGCTCAGGAACAGCATTTTAAATATTATGAAGTTTTAGTATTTTAATGTACTTGTTTTCCAAAATCCCCTTTGTGAATTGTATCGGGTTGTGTAAAACTGGTTTACATATGGTTCTGCTGAGTTATATGACATTTCCATTGGCCGTATTTTGGGAAATGATTAGCAGGTTTTCTGTAATACACTGTACTACCTACAGTAGCCACTCTTTACAAGAAAACCATAAACTTGTGGTTTATGTTTTTTGAAAGAGATTGTTACTGTCTGATCCCAGAACAAAGTAAGAGAAATGCATTGAGGTGAATGCCTTTGGTTAGTGCCATAGTTAGAAGTATAAATACCATATAGGTCCCTGTGTCAGTAAAGGGCAAAATTTGTTTTTGATGTCAAGTGCCTACAACATCACATCAAATTATTTCAGTGTTTAGTTTTCCTTTCCTTTCTCAAGTGTAATTGGCAGTCACTCCAGAGCTGACAGCCTTCTCTAGTGAGCCACCCCTGGTTCCTCTCTGCCTTACCTCCCTTCCCTTAACCTGATTCCTTAAAGTTTTTTTTCCTTGGTATTAATTATGCCTTTTATTATAGTTCCATTGTTACTGTACATGTTCTCAAGAGAATGTAAAGTAGCTTTTTAGAAATACAGATTGTAACTGAAAAATTATCAAAATGTAAAATATGTTCTAATATTATCTTCCTTATTTTCAATAGAGTTTTCATTTGGAACGTGGTCGAAAAGACAGTCAGCTATCCGGGCTGAGAGAGATCCAGAGTTTGCCCCACCATCAGAATACTTTTCTGGTCAAAAGAGAAGTGGTCCTTTTGGTGGTCAGCCCTGGAACCGAACTGGACCTGCACAGAGTGGCCCGGCAGTGGGCTCCGAGCAGAACCATGAGCCCAGCACCCCACAGACATCCTTTACTTCTGCTCCAAAGAGTACGTCACAGACCTCCACTGTCACATTTGAAACTCTGGATGAAATGATATCCTATTATAAACAAGTGACTTGAATTTAAAAATCATTCTGGCTTACATTATATTGTTCATGGTGCCATCTTCAAAAGTTGGAGAAGTAACTTCTGCTTTAGAGACTGAAGGATATTTGTCAGCAAGAAAAGAAGGGAATGATACTATGTGAACTGTATTGGCATTTGGCCATTGATTTCTGACTAGATTAGAGACATACTCTTCTAGATTTATGTTAAACTGTGATATAGTAGAAATATTTATGCTGTCATATTTGACTATGGAGCTTTTGATCTATATTCCATGCCTGCTGCCCTTCTTTACTCAGATTTAAGGGTTCCATGTCATTGTATTTGCTTACAGGAGTTTCTTTCAGGGATTCAGTTTCTAGATCAGTTGATGACACATATCCCCTGTCACACAGTGAAACATGAGAGAATATTGGGACCCAGATTTAAGCAAAATTGGTAGAATACTGAGCATTGAAATTTGGCATGATAAGGAAGACTAGGGATGAGTGTTTCAGAACCCAGAAAGGTAGAACTTCAAGTTAGTTACTTAACCTTTCCTGTAAAGCTGTGCTAAATATCCCTTTACAACCATTGGCAGTCAGTCAGAAGTTGTTCGTTATCACCCTGCTGGGTTTTTGAGGCTGGTACCCAGGCAGTGAGTGCTTTACGAATAGGTCCTTGAAGTGCACCACTTTCAAGAATGAGAGGGGAAAAGTGTGAGTGGGAGTCTATCCTCTCAGAGGTGCAATGCCTTCATTTCCGGGGGTGTCAGTGGTAATGTCTCTATTCTCATTAAAAATTTGCAAATTGGAACTTGAAAAGGTTCAATAATCTGTATTATCTAAATGGCACACCTAGGACTTTAACCTGTTTGTGTCGGACCCCAGACTCATACTTTTCCTCGCAACCTCTGTTCTCGATCTTATTGCTCCAGTACCCAGCAATAGAAGACAAAAATTTCAAATTCTTACTAACTTAACCTCTAATCTCTATTGTTGCTGGTATGTACTGTCAAGTCAGAACTGACTCTTAGCTGACCCTCCAGCAGGTTTCAGAGACTGCAAATCTCAAAAGAGTAGATTGTCCATCATTCTACCACAGACCAGCTGGTAGATTCAAACCGTGTGCCTCCGGTTGGTGGCATAACTCCTTACCATTAGTACCAGTCCAATCAATGGTCATTCTGTCAAATACACATAAAAGCCAGCTTATCGCGCTGCTCTTTTTCCTTTAGAAATACATGAGACCCAAAATGGCCACAACAGTCTTGAAGTGGAGAATTTTCTAACTTCCTGTGTTCAAAACTTACTACAATGCTACAGTAGTCAAGACTGTATGGTACTGGCAGAAGGATAAATATATAGATCAGTGGAATAGGAGAAATAAATCCTTACATTTACATTCAGTTGATTTTCAACAAAAGGGCCAAGTCAGTACAATAGGCAAAGAATAATAATTCAGCAGCCATGTATAACATAGCAGGATCTCTACATGCAAGAGTGAATTTGGATCTATACCACGCAATGTGTAAAAATTAAGATGGAGCAAAAACCTGAAGGTGAGAGTAAGAACTACAAAGCCAAATGAATCTAGGGGAAAAGGGGAAGAAGAAGAAATAAAATGTGGAAAGAAAGCATTAATAGGTAGACAGATACAAGGAAGAGAAAGTTTATGTAAACAGAATAGAAAAAGGACTTGAACAGATAATGAAGTAGAAAGAAAAGGGGCGCTGGTTAGAAAGAAACCACAGAAGCAATTGGTCAAGAAAGGATCCAGCACAAATGGCCTTTTGTCATTGTCCAGAGAATGAACCTAATGGAATCAATCTGTGCACATTGGCCAATGGTCATTGTTGAGTAATAGCTGTAAATTGTATTTTCTCTGGGATTTCAAAGACTAAAACCTATTGCCTAGTCTTTTAACAGCATAAATTTAGCTCAGTGTTTTCTGAGCCCTGCTGTTTTACATCTTCCACTTTAGAGCCCGAGTTAACAGTATATTAGCACAGCATAGTTTTACTTTGTTACACAAGGGCTGCTAAGTACCAGTGTGTCCAGCAGATGGCATTGGAGTTCTCACCCGTGGTTTTCAGGTCCACTCTAGGTGTGTCTGAGATGGTGAGATGGGCACAGGATAGGGCAGAGTTTAGGGCTGTTGTACACAGGGTTGCTCGCGGGCGACTCAATGGCACATAACAACAACAACATTGAAGTAGAGGGTGGGAGATTGGCATTTAAAATTCTAGGAAGCACAATGAAAAAGTGACATTAATTCTATAATGCATTTTCTTTAACTCAGTGTATCTCTTTCAAGTATGTGGCTCCACATCTGTTAAGTGGTACACAGGAGAAAGATTCCAGTCAGCTTCCATTAACATTATAGCCGCAAAGATACTATAGGGCTGTTCTCTCTCACCGTTAATCAGAATGAACTTGCTGGCATCAGACCATGGCAATCATATCCATAAATTACTGAATTCTATGACAGAATGAAAGAGTCTAGAATGAAGGCTGCACAGTGGAGTGGACTTGGAGGGAGGGATTGCATAACAATGAAAGAGTTTTACTTTTCAAGGAGAAGAATGAATTGGGGGTGGGCAGGGAAAAAGTGCAATAATGAATGACTGGAAACCCTAAGTCTCCGTAAACTCTCATTAAAATTAATAAAAATTTTTAAAATTACTCAATTCTGTTTTGTTTCACACAACATCTTTATGATTTACTGTGTCTTACAGTGCGTGCTAATTTGAATGCTGAATTCTCAGATTCTCACCAAGAGTGCTTGCTTGTTCAGTATTTAGATTTCATTAAAGTTGCAGTTGAAAGTATATTCACATACCCACATTGTTCTAAAACAAATTTTAAATGTTCCCAGTATTTTTTAAATAAACTAATAAAATTACATTTTGCTTTATTTGTTACATTATGCACATTTCAGGGTCACAGAGGGTTATTGCAGTGAGCTACTCAACCCACAAAGACTGGACTTTATTAATACTTTACATGCCTTATGACCTGACTATACCCAGTATTCTCATTTGTAGTTAAGGGATTACCAAATAAATCTTTTCCATACCTGCATCAAGATACTCTTAAAGCTTAAATAAAGCTCTGTTGATTTTAGGAACAAGTATTGGCAAAACTTCCTGTGAAAAAAACAAGACCACACCTTAGTTAGGTCTTTGTGGAGAGCTGTAGGAATTATTTTGGATCAGAAGCTGCTTTGACTTCCTTTCATTGTCATGTTTTCTCTAGTCTTTTGCGTGTTTTGACACAGTTCGTTTGAATTGGCTAAATTTTGTTTACTTGAAAAATCCCCAAAGAACACTGCCTACATCCATATACATGAGGTTCCTGCTGTGTTTAGCCATACATTTGCCAAAGACTTGGGATCATTTTTTTTCCCTCTTAAAGCTGTAGTGCAGCCTACTAGATAGTTTACAGCTAACCTTGTGACATGCAGGCATGGAAGTGGAATTTAGAATTTGGAACAGGCTTGGGTATACTGGTCTTTACAGTCAGTGCAATGTAATTAGTCCATATGTTCATCTCATTTTTAAGCCAGTACATCAAATTAAATTGGTTATCAAAATAGTTGATGTGAAAAATGACATGGCTCAGGTAAGTGATAATAACTGACAGTTTGTTGGCCCATTGGAAACGAGAGAAAAATGAAACTTCTATTCATTGGCAGCTGGCCTGGTTCTAAGACATTTTGCTAGTTGTGGACATCAAGTTTGATGTTTAAACGAAAAATACTATAAAGTGTTCACATGTGAATCAAGTTGAGTCCAATCTTGTCACCCTAGCTAGTACCATGTTAGGGTATTTTTTAAATTAGTTTCTGTGTTTATACAAACATAATGGTTGTCTGGTGATGAGAAGAGTCAAATATTTTAGTGCCCTCAGTTTGAGCAACTTCCTTCTACACTATAATTGTGATAAAATTGTAACTGAAAGCTTACCTGTTTGGTAGCAAGTTTTCCTCCCTTATTTTGAGCAGTTCCCCTGGGTTATGTTGTATTCTTTGCTGTGTCCACTTGATTGATAGCAAAACTGAAAGGTCTTGGAGTTTAGATATTTAAGAGACTTGGCTCTTGACATCCACCTCACCCTATCCCAACATGTCTAGACACACCCAGCCATGGTGGTTCATGGCTGTGTTTGAAATGTCTTGACCTGTGGTTTATGATTTCTGACTAACGTGAATTATGTTGGTGATGGCTTTCTATACTGTAAAGGAAAATCTAAGAATGGATCTTCCCCCTAGCCAGGAATCTCTTAGTTCGTGAGTGGTGCAAAATCCCTCCATCCCTGTTATGCAGTCCCTTGGGCATTACTGGGCTCAAAGGCAGGATAATTTCTTGATCTTAATAAGGGATTTTTTTGTACCACAATATATCTCCCTGGTTATGAATGCAGGTGGTTTCCAAATGAATTCTCTACAGGCCAAATAGTTACTGGGCAGCTCCAGGTTCATGTTTAAAGGAGCTCTGGTGGCCTAGTGGTAAGAAGCTGTGCGGCAATCCCAAAAGGATGGTTTGAATACCATATGCTCCATGGGAGATGGATCAGTACTCACTTCCCATGTGATTAACTGCCTTTGAAAACCTGCTGGAGGGTCCAGCTATGGATAAGTTCTGACTCAATGGTACACAACAAGGTAGCTCAGGCAGGAACTCTGGTGGTATAATCCATAGGGTGTTGCATTTAGCAAAAACCATCACATCTCTGGCTTCAAGCCATCAGGTGACCACAAAGAGATGGACAATCTCCTTCCATGAACATTTCCTTCCCCCCCCCCCACCTTCTATTAAGATTTATAGCTTCAGGAAGCCACTGGGGAATCACTTAAGAATCAGAATCAAGTAGGTGGCAGTGAGTTTAGTTGAGGAAACTCTGGTGGCAAAGTCTGTAGCAGGTGGTTCTGCTAAAAGGCTGTGAGACTCCCTCAATTGGAACCCACCAGTGGCTCCTCAAGAGGCAGGTGGGCAGGTTACTGTTAGGATTTAAGCCAATGGGGGCCAATGGAAG